CTGTGCAACTTCGTCTCTTGGACCGCAGCTATCAATATGTCATGCCTTCCCATGAAGACAATTATCTCAGATCTTGCTCTGAAGCCCGTTACAGATAAATTGAAGGAGCTTCATGTGGTTCGGGAGACGTGTGGTGATGCGGGGTGTGAGGGATGTGTGTGGTCGTGCCGCAGTTGGCTGTGTGCGCTGCTGAGGTGGTTGCCGCCCTGTGGTGGTGGCGGGAGGCGTCGCAGTTGAGGTCTGCGACCGAGCAGCGCAACATGGGTCCTCGAAGTTCCTCGTCCAATCTCGCGTGGTGCGCAGACCTGAGCATGCCCTAAAGTGGCACCAGCCAAGGCAGGTGTTGCACTTGACTGATGTCACATTACGGAATATCCTGGTCTGACATACCGTGCAGATTGTAGGAGGAACCAGGAGTTGTTGACGGCGTGTGGGTGGTGGTGTCGTTGTGGTCTATAGCCGTTGCGGTGTGGTCTATTGTGTTATGTTGTTGTGCTGTGGTGTTTGCGTGGGACTGCTCAGGTGGACTGGGGTTAGCCGTGGAGGCTGCTCGGTTAGAGCAACAGGGGGCCACAAAAGACGTGGTCCGTAGTCCTGAGCAGACTCTGAGGTGACTCCACCCCTCGCAAGTATTGCTCTTGACAGAGGTGGAGTTGTGGTGTAGTCGTCTCTGGCATACACAGCAGGTGTAGGTTTCTGGCCCTGGGTTTGACGCGATGCCAGCCCTGAGTAGGAGAAAACGTACCGAATGTAGCCCTATGGACGAACAACTTCTCAGATACTTCGCCGACCTAAACGGGGTTAGATCGCCGAAACAACAGCCCTTGGTCGGGTAAAACCGGAGTCATTCCGATACGTAGAACCGGCTGTCGTGGGAACGTTTTGTTCATTTAACTGGATCAAGCCCATTTAAGATGTTTAGCTCGCCAATTTGAACGTAGTATAACAATAAATCATCAATTTTGTTTCACAAATATATTTTAATTTTACCCAAAGAAACAAGGATATTATCAAAACATACCACAAATGGATAATACTTTTTTGAAAATCATCCGCCCCAAAGTAAATTGCACTTTCAAGTTGAAAGTCATGCAGAAGTCGAATTTCAAAATTGGGGACTATAATTTGTCCACAGAAATCCAATATACATAGATTTATTTCAGACGAAATACCTTAAATATCTGGAGGTTTTAGACTTTGATCCCTGGTGTCTTCCAATGACTTCGCTTACAAATGTTTACCAGTAACTCGACTCCAGCGCCATCTTGCAGCTCTTTCTTTGCAATAGGATTGCCCCTACCGTTACCAATACATGGGCAAATCTCGGGAACTGTGTGCTTTTATGTCACTCACCTTTACTTTTTATAAAAATCTTGGGCCATTTTGATAACGACGAGTGTGTGTGTGACGAGTTTTTGTAACTTATTTATTTCATTTTTATTTTTTAATAATGTCATTTTAATTTTTATAAACAACGTTTTTTGGGTATAACTTTTTCAGCACAATACGGAGACATTCAAAAATCATGGCAAATAGTAAATGTAATATTGGAAAAAAACATTAGGCGTTGAGGAAAATATGTGCTCCTCATTGGAAATAAACTGTAACAATTTGAAATCTGTCACTTGTAATTATCAAAAAGGTAATATATTAAATTCTTTTTCATTTTGCACTTTCAGCGATTACTAAACTGTTCTCATTGGTTTATATACACATTAATTACACATTAAAGAATCAAATAAGGCCTTTAACAGTTGTATACCTTTCAAACAATTAAAAATATAACAAATATTGTCTGAATAGGTTTTTGCGTGAATGGCTTCAAATTTCACATTTTTTTGAGAGATTGGCATTAAGCGGGATCGTTAGATAACATAAAGTTCGTTGAAAATGCTTAATACATAAAATAATTTTTGTCTAAAATACGGCCATGAATATACATATATGTATGTGTGTATGTAAAGGACTTTCAGATTTTTAAATATATATTCGAAAATGATATTTTCAATGGATCTTAAGCGAAAATTAGTTTTTCGTAAAATTGTTTGGAAACTGGGCGAGGCTCGCCTACTTATGTCAAATATTTGTATCTCAAAAACCACTTCACCAATCTGTATGAAAATTTGATATATAAATTGCGCCTGAACTTCTTAAATACTGTCTTGAAAATTTTTGAAATCGGACAAAAACCACGCCCTTTAGGAGTATCGCTAACATTGAGTTTTTAAAATTATCGTTTTTTACTTATGACCCTTTAAGCATTTGAGAAAAATGAATCACACAATAATTTAATGCTTCGTTAAAAATTTGCGTTTTTAGCGTTGAATCGCACGGTTCCGGAGAACCGCCCATATATTTCGAATATGAGCCAAATCGGATAATAAATACGAATTTTAGTAAGCGCCAGGTGCCGTTTTAAGTTGTAAACCTAACTCCCCCTAACCAAGGGACCCACTCAAACACAAACAATTTCATTTCTATCGTTTCGCTCGTTTAGGAGGAGTTCACTCACAAACACACGTACCGGAGAATTATATAAGTATTTACAGTTAGGCAAAAGTTTCAGGCCGATGTGGTGTAGTGGTAAGCAGTGTGCTCTTCCCCTCTGCAAGCTTTTTTCTTAACAGCGGTCGCCCCTCGGCAGGCAATGGCGAACCTCCGAGTGTATATCTGCCATGAAAAATAGCTTGTCATAAAAATACAATGGCCGTTCGGAGTCGGCGTTAAGCTATAGGTCCCTCCTCTTTGTGTGAAAACATCAAGGGACACGCCACAAATCGGAGGAGAAGCTTAGCCAAGCACTAAAATATGCGTAAGCGCCAATCTATTACACTGGTTTACAGCAAAAATGTTCTCCAGATGCCACTATCCAATTCCCATGTCGAATTCCTCGGTGATTCCGAAAATCGAGATGATTTTTTTTTCTGTGGATAATTTTTAGAGATATTTATTTGCAATTTACCGTTATTCAGCTTTAAAAAATAGTGGTTTCGCGATAGTAGTGGTAATACGAGATACGGCAAATGAAAGCAAATAAAATTCCCCATAAACCGTGTATACATCACTTTTCGATAGCCCTGATAGTTTCTGTGAAAATAACTAATCATTTCTGACGCCTCTTGTTTTCGATGCAAGCACTCTACCTACTCAGGTGTACGTGGCGTATGAGTAACACTCTTCTCTTTCTTAATTTCTGAGAAGCTATCAGGGCTATCGAAAAGTGATGTATATACGGTTTATAGAGAATTTTATTTTCGTTCATTTGGGCCGGTTGTTCAATGTTTGATTAACACAAGGCGGACGTAGAAGCTCCGGTTAAATAAAAACTGCTTTATCGATCCCAATTCTAATCGTCGATAATGATGTACTGGTGATACCCATATATTGAACAACCGGAAACGCATCCATACAAAAATAAACTAACTCGATTTTCGGAATCAGCGAGCGGTTCTACATACAAATTGGAGAACAAAATCAAAATTAAAATTTGTGATCCAGTGTTATTAGTTGCGATCCCGTACGAGACCGGACTAGTCAGAATCAGTCAGATTTTACTGGAGATCGATCCGTACTCGGTTCTCTCACTATTGAGAGGACAAAAAGGAGAGTAAATAAGGTCCTCTCTATATGAGACGTTACCAGTTCTAGTCCGAAGATTTTTTGCTGGCAAGTTCTGGTAAATGTGTCAAAAGATCAGCTGTAGGGTGTTTTGCAACCAAATTGTAAACAAAATAAAAGTGCACTCTGCTAATGCATGTTGAAAAGTATTTAGTTACTTGTTTAAGTGGATTCTAATGAATTTTAAAGTATTTTTGGTTATTTATATGTGTGAGCTGAGTGTGTGTACAACCAAAATTTGGAGGTTATGTTGAAGTCTTTTTTGTATCATGTACTAGGGATGCAAGTCAAAAAAATACATCGATAATTTTTCGATTTGATACATCGAAATATAGCATCGATGCATATCGATGGTCTTTTCGCAATAAACGTTTCTACTAATAAACGAGCAATTTATTAATGCAGTAACATGTTGGATAATATTAATAGAATGTATATTCTAATGGTGCATAAATAATGAAAAATCCACATTTAGGGCCGGTTGCTCAAAGCCTGGTTGACACTAATCATGGCTTAAACATCGTTATCGACGTCACCGACACCGTGTTATCCATGCATATAAACGAAAACGTCGATAACGATGTTAACCGATGATTAGTGTTAACCAGACATTGAGTTACCGGCCCCAAGTCGATAACGATGTTTAACCGGAGATTAGTTTCAACCAGGCTTTGAGCATCCGGCCCTTAGAATAGTTACTAGAGCGAAGATTTTGGAAGCATACAAAATAATTTTAGTATGTATAGTGTACATTGCACACAAAAGTCGATGCATCGAAAAAAAAATACATCGATATATCGATGTATATCGGAAGGTCCAAAACATCGGTACATCGATATTTCCAATAAATCGATGTTTTTTTTGCATAACTATCATGTGCCTTCTATCATGGTCTTATGAAAAAATAGTATTTTATAATTTAGCAGTTCAATTTTATTTGATAAAATTAGAGATCAAATGTTTATAAAAAAAATTAATTTTGATAAAGATAAAAAAATGTGTCGTAAGAATGTTTACTTCGTTTCGTGGCTGAGCTTGTTGGGGTTTGTAAAATAGAGTCAATGCAAAACTTATTTGCATGTTCAAGTCCATACCTGCACATCGAGGGCTTATATTCTATACCCCCTATCTGCAATTTTCACAAAAACTTTTTTTGTGATGTTAAAACCCATCTGGGACTTACCTGTCATCACTGATGTTAATTCTGACTTTGCAGTTCAATAAGTATAAGGAATCTTTCGGAATTCCTCCTGGAAGGAGTTCTGTATCTCTTTGATTGTCTCATTCTCTTTTACTTCCGCCAGTGGGCAGCAGTCTGAAATTCTTCGCGGCTCGGGGCCATGCAGGCAAATTTTTTCTCCACGCTTTTCGAGATAGTCAGCCCTTTCGTTGCCTTCAAACCCTTCATGTCCCGGAAGCCACCACAGAGCTATTGTGGGCGCCCAGGTGATTCGAAGGATTTTTGCAGCTGTCCACACAGCTTTGATGCCGTTTTAAAAGACCTTTAACTTTGCCTGACTATCCTACGTAATATTTATTCTGGTCCCATTTTTTCTTTTACGAAGACATTAGAGAAGATAGACTTCGATTGCGAAGACTTCCGGCTGGAATATGGTTGGGAATTTTCAGAGTATACAAAGGAGGAATGACACCAAGGACATGGGTTGGACAGATGTGCACAGCTCCTGTGATGGGTACGCAGACCAGTCGGTGCAACTTGCTCACGGTGGCAGCCGCGTTTACTTCCTTAGCTTTTGGCCGCCAGGCCAGCACCGCATATCGATGGCTGGGTGGCATATCGACCTATCTCGGCAGCCAGTTCGAAAACACCCTATCTCAGAAAATTGTTCAACAACGCTCTATCTCAGAAAAAGAAAGCCCTAATTCAGATTTTCATCGAAAAACGCCCTATCTCAGCTTATTTTCAATGTATTTTCGGTCGAGATAGGGTGTTGATCTTCCACTCAGCCATCGATCCAGGTTTCGGGATCGTACTGAATGACCAATACGTTAGTTTGGGTAATATTCCCTAAGTCCGTTTGTCCGCAGTTACACCTAGATACTTCGCCTATTCCACTAACTCCATTTCTGTTCTTGCCAAGGTGGGATTAGTCAAGTTGACTTTCTTTCGTTTGGTAAATGGGACAATATAGTGTACTTCAGTGGGTTTATTAACAAGCCCTTTTTAGAACCCCTGTCCTCAGTTCATATAAATACATACACTGACAATCAGTAGTGAGTGCATTCTGTTTTTTGTTTAAAATTTGCCATATTTTCCAAGTTAAAATTTTTTGTTTTTTTTTTATAAAAATATATAGAGAACGTTGAAAAATTCAACAAATTTTCATCTAGATTTTTAACAAAAATCTGATTTTTTTGTTTTAAAGATAGATAGGCTATGTAATTCGAGTGAAACAAAAGTGCAAGTTTTAAGTGGCTAAAAAATCGGGCTGATTTTTAACGAATTTCTTTTCCGACAGATTTTGCGGTTTTCGGCATATAACAAGTGCAATTTACATATAAAGTATAGCGTTAATTTTTTTAATTTTGTTTGCAAACGATCATGTGCATTTTATTCTTCAAGAAATTCCCTTTCATATAGTGAAAAGTGCAAAAAGCCGTCAGCAATAAAAAATCATTAAAAATCAACGCAATTTTTTTGCCGCTTGAAACTTGCGCTTGTTTTACTAGAATTAAAAAACCGATCTATCTGCGTACTCAGATTAAAAAGTTCAAAATTAAGACGAATTCGTTGAATTTTTCTATGTTCTGTATAAAGTTTGACTTATGTGGTTTTGATTAAAGCTTGGACCATATTTTTCTAAACCAATAACAAAAAAATTTTAATTTGCAAAACGTTGCAAATATTTAAGAAAAAACACAATGCACCCACTTTTGATCGTCATTGTATGTTATTTATTACAACTTTGTAGTTCAGTTCTATTTAATTTAATGGCGAGTTCCAAGTTGCATGTTGCTTTGTATTTGTACCGTGTATCTAGTTCCCGAATGCAACATAGTACTTATTATATGCAATAGGGGTATTCTCAAAGTCTTGGACGTTGCACGGATTGCGCGAAATGAAAAATACTCTTCCAAATTCGGAAGAGTACGAGTAGAGTTCGAACGATACTATCGATATTGAGTAAGCATCGATACTGCGGGTATAAAACTGAGTACTTTAATACTCGATACCTTATTTGGTGATTTTACTCGATACTTTGAAAAGTACTCGTAGTATCGAAAACTTATTAAATTATTATTATTATTTTTAAATTTTTTCTTCCATTAGCAACCCAATTTTCTTTGCTTATATGGATTACTATCATACAATTTTGTCCATCACTTAAAATGAACTGAAATTTCGTGTAGTCTGCTGCATAACATAAACAAAATAAGTTAAAGTTTAATGGCCTTATTCATAAAAAATAAAGTAGGTTTAAAGAGCTTAATAAAATTACATTTTCTTACATTTTCCAGTTTATATACCTTTTTTATTTTTTATGAATAAGGCCGTAAAACTTTACGCAAAGTTCACGAAAATTTAGAATTTTTAGAAACCTTTTGGGTTTGCTGTTTTGTAACCTATTCAACTTTACGTGTAGCCTACTACCGTTGACTTTTAATTCAAACTTGCACATTATTATATTAAAATTTAATAGGCTACAAAAATGCATACCCAAAAAATTTACAAAAATTCTTAATAAAATTTGAAATTCGTGAAAGTATATATATATATATATGTATGTATGTATGTATATACATTTAACGTTAAAATTACTTCTAACGTGAAAGTAGGTTCTGCAATGAAATAATAATCAAATATTTTAAAATTTCTATTGTTTTAATTTCAGGAAATAACTAGATATACGAGTGAAGAATAAAATAATTTTAGTATCCCAAGCAACGTATTTCAATGAGTCCGATACTGAGTAGTATCGATACTTTTTCCCTGATATTTTTAAAGTATCGATACCATGAGTTCGATGCCAGAATGAGTACTCAGTATCGATACCAAAGTCTGAAATTTCGAACCTTAGTCCTAGGTACCCCAAGCTCGCACATTATTATACTAAAAAAGAATGGGCTAAAAAACTGCATACTTAACTTTTTTCAAAAGAGTGTAATTAAAAAGTTTAATATTTTAATGAATATTTGCAGAATTTTCTTTAATTTTGCACAAGGTTTGGATACTCAGTTTATCTTTAAAGAGTGTAATTGAAATGTTTAATATTTTGATGAAAATTTGCAAAATTTTCGTTAATTTTGCACAAGGTTTGGAACTCGGAAATTTGGGGTCTTGGTCGTAGAATTAACCAAATCTTTATAAAAAATTTGCGAATAAAATAATTAAAAAATAGTTGCTATACCAAAACTTTATTGATTGACTGTATATAGATATGTATATGGTCTATCTCCTTTAGATTTTCTTGTTTCTTTTATGTCTACCATTTCAAATTTGTTATGCGCTGTTTCCTCTTTCCCAAGCGAATCATAGTAATCTCACCAACAAATTATTCGTAGTATGTACCATGCTTAAAATACCTCTAAAACTCACTTTTCATCACTAATACCATCAAAATTTTCTTCTGGTAAAGTTAGCTTTGCCAAATGTATTATCACATCTTTCTCTCAAAAGCATTACATCATTGATGGGCATAGTGTAATATGTTGAATGCAAGTTACATATATCTAAACAGAAAGCAGCAGTGTTGCACGCTTTTGCATGGATATGTAATGATCAAGAGTATGTACATATATACATAGATATGTACGTATATACTTGTATGTGAATGTCGGAATCTACCGCGATTCAAGTTAGAGAAGCAAAGAAGTACCATGCTGTAAGTACGCTACGTCATCTTCAGATGACCGAACCTCCAATCGAGCTAAGCACCTGGCACCACTTTTCCGACCGCAAGCTTACTTACATACATATATCAAGTATGTAAACATTTACATATATACCAATATAGGTTTGTAGGAAACATTTTCCGGCTGCATCTGCATCAGCAGCAAGTTGTAACGCAGGCATTGGCGCCCACTGTTTTCTCCCCTCTTCCTAATGCCTCCCTATAAAAGATTTGGCTAATATTCGAAGATTTTTCAGTGTAGTATCAAGTCGCAG